CACTGCTGAGGGGAGCAGCGGGCGGGCCAGGAGAGGTCTGCCACGCCATGTGGTCACCTCCCGGGCAGGCGGGAATCGAACTCATGCGGAAGTGGCCTTAGCTTCTCAGCGCTGCGCTTTAACCCGCTGCGCCACCAGGGAGGGCCCTCTCCATTGTTTTTTAATACCCTCTTTCATTCCCATATCCTTGAAATCATCCAGTACATATCCCACAGATATTTTTTAAATAATGTCTTTAAAAGTGAGCACTGATGTTCAACTACATTAATTTTATAATTCTCACATTGGTTTTCAAAGGATAATATATGAAAACTGTCAGAGTTGTAAATAACCACTCATCAGTAGAAAGGATAAATGTAATTTTTAAATATGTAGCATCTGAAATCATAGAGAAAGGATCAGAAACTGTCATATAAGAGTCGGTGAGTAAATCTGATTAAATTTTTAGCAAAACCTGACCAGACAAGGAACAACAAAATGGTTTCAGAAAGCAAAAATCTGACTCAACTCTAACATAAGCTAATTCAAAAATAAACAAACAAACTCAAGCTTTACTTTCTTGCTGGTACAATAACTGCTGACTAGACTTGTCACTGGCTCCCTCTGCTAACAAGTGCATGCCCCTGTGCTAATAGTGGCCTACTAGCTGGAATGCATGAACAAATATTAGTTCTCATGTTGCATAACTGATGACGTCTATAGGTCCTCTGGTATAAGGCACCAAAGGTTTGTGACTCCTGTCCTGATCCCATTCACAAACCCACGTGGAACCAGTCCCCTAGAAAGAGAGAGGCCAGGGGCAAATTGCTGGAATTCTGAGGTCTCCAATTGATGTTGTGAAGCTGAACAGATGTTTTTTTAGAGCCCAAATCTCCTACTCCAACCTTGGTGAATGGTGCCCCTGTTTCATTCCACCCTTCACACCAGCAGATCATAATAGGATAAGCCTCCCATTTCTTTTCCAGGCCCCTTCCTACTTTCTCTTACTGGAATTACAACAAGGAATGCATACTTCCAAACTTTCCTTAACAATCATCTCCCAATCTCCTTGTAAAATGTAATTCTGTAATTCTATAGAATATGTCACTCACTTCTACAGCCCTCAAATGCTCTCTATTCTCTCCAGCATGAAATTCAGACTTCTTGGAAGAGGGTATAAAATACCATCTCACCCTCAATTTCTGTTGTGACTCCAATCATAGTTTTGTGATATAGAAATGACACTTGCTTTGCCCAAACACACCTCTGTGTCTTTGCAAGTGTTCTCAAAGTATTGTGCCCTAGATTTCCAATTTTCAATAAATGATTGCCAATCAGCTAACTGTTGCAATGTGCAAAATATTATTGAGTACCAAATTCTGTGTTGACACTAGGAATTCATGACTACAGAACATAGTTCCTGCCTTCTAAGAAAGCACATTCTGGTGGAAACCCACATTAATAATGCAGTGTTAAAATGCCCCATGTAAGGACAGAAGTGGGAATCAGGAAGAATTTTGAGATAATACTTCAATGTCCCATGCAAAAAGCATCAAAACCCAAACAAACGATCACAAAACTAGGAGAGGCCAAGGAAAAGGTTAGAGAATTATGTGTGTTCTCATATTTGCATGCAGTATAGCTTATTTAGCTCGTGCATTTATGGTGATTATGGTAAAAGGTGAGAAAAAGCCAGATTACACTCAGTTTCATTAGTCACCATGAAATGTTTCTGTTTTATTCAGAAGACAGTGGAAGTCATGAAAAATATTCCAGCAAGTGTCATTCTATGGCAGCTTCATGGAAACAGACAAAAAAAAAATCAGTTTTCTTTGTGGAGACAACCAAGAAGGGGGGGGGGGGAGTATGAGAATGTGAAAACAATTTGCCAATAGGCATCATGAAAATAACTTTAAAAGACATTAAGAATCTAGAATTGATAACTTCTGGTGTTAGAATAAGTTCTAATTGTTCTTCTTTCCCCTCTGAGGTGATGAAAGGGAAGATTGAGTTCCCTTGTTGAGATAAGAAATAAAGAAAGGAAATATTGCCTTCTTCACATCACATCTTACACTTAAGATTGTCCTCATTCTAATCAATATCCCCACTCCATGGCACCTAACACTTTTCATTCTAGCATGCTATGTACTTACATACTAGGTTCCATGATTTCTTCATTGTCTATACTTGAATAAAAGCAGGGAGGGACTTTTTGGTTTTTTTCCTATGGTAGATCTTAAAGCAGCGGTGGAGACCGAGAGCAAACTCAACAGTCATTAAATTAATAAATGAGTGTAAACTCATCAACTCCATTCTCAGCATGTTCAGTTTGCAATATCTTTGGAACCAAAGAAAAGAAATCAAATAGAACGCTACTTTCAAAACTTAACATGTGTGATAACATCTGGGGATTTTGCCAAAATGCAGATTCAGATTTAAAAATTCTGGGGAAGGGTCCAAGGGTTTACATTTCAAAGCCACAGCATCCAGATGAAGCCGAAGCTACTAATGCAACAGCCAGGAACGCGTGGAAATTTGCAGGTGGACATGTGACCTTGGGATTAGTGGGCTGGCGGGTGGAATGTGAGCGTCATCATTTACAGAGGTGGTGACAAGTATGAATATGGATGAGATCTTTCAAGCAAAGAATATATGGTAAGAAAAAGTCAAGGGGACTCAGAGTAGAAAGAGCAAAGGAGAAAACTTCAGTGTAAAAGAACCATGGGCATGAAGCAATAGGGAACGGTCATTACAGTGTCTGCAGTGTAAACTGCCATTTTGAGAGGTTGACTAAATATCAGAAATGTCCTTTATCTGTGGTGACACAATTGTCATTAATTGAATCACATTCCCCCAAAAGTCAAATGCTGAAGTCCTAATCCTAAAGTGACTGTATTTAGAATCGGATACTATAGAGAGGTGAGTATGAAAAAAACATGAGTGAATTCACAGGAAAAGTCCTATCCCACATGACTGTTGTCCAAACACGAAGAAAGCAACAGTCCTGG